AGCCTTGCTTAGCACCTTGCTGGACATGCATGGGCCACACATCCCCGACTGCTGGATAAAGGGAGCAAGGTGGTCGTGGCTGGCTTGGGTTTGGCTCATTGTCTCTTGGGGCTGGGGACAGCAGACAGCAGAAAGGGAGAAGTGACCCTTAAAGACACAAGAGGCAGCACAGCCATGGGAAGACCCTGGGCTTGAGGACTTTTAGCAACATTTCCTGGCAGTGTAGGGGAAGCTGAGGAAGAACGAGAAAAAAACCTTCTATTTTAAGTTTTTAAAAAAATATTTTAAGACAGAATCTCACTTATTTGCCAAACTCAACACACTGTCCTCCTGCCTTGGCCTCCCAAGTCACTGGTCCTACAGGTGTGCACCACCATGGCTGCTTTAGAAGAGCATCTTAAAAAAATAAATTGATTTCCAAATTGACTTTGCACTCAAAGAGGAAGGACAATGTAGATAAGAGTAATTGCTATTTAAACATTTTAAGTCTCAACCTATTTTACCCAGATTGATTTCCTTTATTTCATCCAATCTGAAGAAGAGAGCTACTTGTCTCTGTTGGAGTGACCACCGTAAAGGCACAGAGAGGCCCTCGGAGCAAAACATAAGGTTTGTAAGAGTTGACATTGTGGCCTTTACCCCTTATCTGAAGGGGATGCACTCCAAAAACTCCAGTGGGTGCCTGAAAATGCAGTTAGTACTTAAATACACACACACACACACACACACACATATATGCATACAAACCCATATCAACAAAGATACATGCTGTGTGTTTTCCTATACATAAATATCTATGATCAAGTTTAATATGTAAGTTAGAAACATTAAGAGATTAATGACAATAACATAATAAAAATAGAAAAAATTACAACATACTGTAATGAAAGTTATGTGAATATGTTTGCTCTCAGATTTCTTATTGTACTCTGCTTACTCTTTTGGGGATCATGAAGGATGATACATAAGGGAAGTACTTTAAGCCTTATTTTAGGTAGATGGCAGTTGACAGCATTACTACTCCTGTGAATTGGGACCAGTACTAAGTAAAATAAGAGTTATGTGAACCTAGGAAGTGCAATACTGTGACAGTTACTCTGATAACCAAGATAGCCATTGATGATTAATGGGTGGGTAGTGTATATAGTGTGGATACTCTGGACTAAGGGATGCATCATGGAGCAGGATGGAGTTAGATGATATCAGATTACACCCCACAATTCAGAATGGAAGAATGGTGTGAAACTTAAGACTTATGAATTGTTTATTTCTGCAATTTTCCATTTAGTATTTCAGACTTTGGATGACCACAGATAATTGAAACTGCAGAAAGGGGGGACTGTTATAATAGAAATAGCTTTAACCAAGTTTGCTTCTAAAGTGTTTAGATGGAATTCTTTCAAGAAAATCTGAACTCCTCTGCTCAGTAGCTGGGGAGGAAATTGCTTTGTGTTAAAAATGGTTATTTCATGCTTAACCTCTTTCAGGTTTTCTAGGACTTATCACATCTGATCATTTAATGACAAGCCATATTTCACAGTCATTAAAAGAAGCTTCAGGCGTTTGTCTCAGGCTGGAGAAACAACCCCAATTACAACTTTGGCAGTTTAATATTTAGACCCTGTAAATGGAACGATGAAGCATTCCCATAGCTTGGCAGTCGTCATGGTGGGAAATTGGTGGCTCCTTCCTTCCAGGTCAAGCCTCTGAAGTCTCCCTGGGCAGGTGGCTGGCTGGACCGCTGATGATCCTCTGCAACTTCAGGCTTCCTGTGTGCACACACCCCACACGCAGGAGTCCCACGGCCCTCCTTCATGAGAGTCTGTGAGGGTCTGTGACTCACGTGCCCAAGCCTGGGAGAAAAATAGGAATGAAAGGTACAAATAAACCCCCCTACACACTCCAAGAGGTAGAACAGCTTGTATTTTGGTAACTTTTCTCAACTATAATCCTAAAAGTATAGAGTACCATAGTTCCCCCCTGCCAACAACAACAGCAGTAATACCTTTGGTTTCTGAGCAAATGTATTTTCAAATAATATTTCCCAGAGATAGAAAAAGTGAAATTTCAACTCAAATATAACATGCAAAAGCAACGAGTCAGACCAGGCTCCTCTGATTGCCAGGGGTGGGGTTTAGGGGGTCGTCCATGGTGGTGCACAGACTAGCCTCTCGACCCCCTCTTGATCCCTTTTGCACTGAGCTCAACCTGTCCCAGTGGAAGTCATTTCAACCTGTGGCTCTGTGCACCATCTCTGCCACAGCTCCACAGTCACTTTAACATACTCCCCGGTCTGGCCCTTCCAAATATGACTCCCGAGTTGAGATCAATAGTCTATTACCCAGGGACCTCAGTGGCTCTAAATCCAAGCATGGCACTGTCATCTTATGACCAGATGGCCTCTGCCTTCTGCAGAGGGCCACCATGAGGTGACCACAAGCTGGTTACCCAGTCGTGTGGTCCCAGAGGTAGGAATGGGGCTTGCCATTAGATGTCATCAAGTAAGGACACAAAGCAGCCTGCTCCAGGGAAATTGCCTTTTAGAAATGTTAATCCCCCCTCCTCAAGAATCTTAAGCAGATGGCTGCAATCTATATCAATTAGACTGTGAGCTCTCTTTGAAAAGTTTTACTGTGTTTAGTTTTTAAACCACATAGCTTTTCAACAAACATGCGCTGTAGGAGTGTGCAGTTGGCATTTCTAAGTCCATTTTCTCTGTTGCCTTTATTGTAAAAGGTTAAAATGAGAAATGTAAACATCTATCGCAACCCTAAAGGTTGGGGATAATTGTTTTTATTAGCATAATCTTGAACTAAAGAGAACACTTGCTGGAGATCATGCACATGGGAAAAATCATGAATTCATGCTGCAGGATTGTATGATTCCTTCTTCAGGACATGAATTATCAGAAGTCTTTCTCCTGATTAAAAAAAAAAGTGCAGAAAGAGTGTAAAACTTCTAAAAAGGATGAGTCGGAAACAGATGCAAGAAGTTACCAGAGCATTAGAAGACTCAATGATTACTGGAGACATATTAAGAACTTTTAAAATCAACAAGTAAACACTTGGGTTTTTGTTTCTTTTGGGTAGCTTTTTAATTCTCTCACAATGATACTGATGAACCTGCTCATTAGCATCAGTTGGTGTTTGTGGAAGTTGCTAAGACAATAGAGGAGAGGAGGGCGCTCTGCCCATAGTCCTTTGGCGATGGGGATGCCCGTCGCCCCTCTCCTTAGTATCACCACATTCTACAACGGGACCTCCCATGAGCCATGGCCCCACCATGGCCCTCACACCACCACCACCACCACAGCCGCCCTCTTCGCCTGCAAGTTTCCCCCAAAATCATTTCCCCAGGGGGCAAGTCGCTACCTTCATCTCCCAGGAAACCAGAGCAGCTGCCCTGCTCCTCAGCACATGGACTCTCCCTGACCTTGGGTCCAGGCTCTGAGACCCAACTACAGCTGCTGCCGGCATGACCTTGACTACATGCCCAATCCTCTCTGCTAGAAGCTGGATCCTGGAGTTGATAATGACTTGGATTCCTCCCAATTGGAAATATCTATGCCAATAATTTCAGTAAGGCCAGATCTATAGAATCCTACCAACGAAGTGGATGTTTTAACAGAGAGTTCTGCTTCCTTAATTTGCACCAGCAGGGATTTCATATGTATACTATCTGCAGTGCCTATGGTGGGTAAAAATAAGTATATATGAGCACATGAATAGCTAGTTTTGTAAGTTTCTTTTTCTTTCTTTTTCTTTTCTTTTTTTTTTTTTTTTGTACCAGGGATTTAACCCAGGGGCACTTAACCACTGAGTCACATCCCTAGAACTTTTATCCCCCCCTTTTTTATTATGGAGGGGGTGTACTGGGGATTGAACTCAGGGCACTTGGCCACTGAGCCACATCCACAGCCCTTTTTTGTATTTTATTTAAAGACAGGGTCTCTTGAGTTTCTTGCTTCCTCACCATTGCTGAGGCTGGCTTTGAACTAATAATCCTCCTGCCTCAGCCTCCCAAGCTGCAGGGATTACAGGTGTGCAACCACTGTGCCTGGCTCTTCCCTTATTTCTTTCTTTTTTCTTTCTTTCTTTCTTTCTTTCTTTCTTTCTTTCTTTCTTTCTTTCTTTCTTTCTTTTAAAACTAGCTCTTACTAAGTTGCTGAGGCTGGCTTTCAATTTGTGATTTTCCTGCCTTGGCCTCCTGCGCTGTGGTTTTTGTAGGTTCTGTGAGTTTTTGTAATTACTGATTTGTTTATTCCACAGATATTTATCATACATGTCTGTAACCTTTCCTGCCTAACAGATGACAGAATCTGCTAACAGAGCAGCTTTAGATAGAGCTATTTGCTTTTTCTCAATTCTGTGGATTGGGAATTTGATCTGGCCTCAGCTGAGATGGGCTCATGTAGTCACTAGAGGTGGAGTGGCCTCACCGGGGGTCTGACAGTGCTGGCTCTCTGCAGAGGGAACACGGTCCCATGGACACGGAGCTACTCATCCTACAGGCTTGCACATTCCTGTTCAGGGTGACCATGGCAGGATTCCCAAGAGCAGCAGGAGAGGGTGAGCTCCAGGGAGCAAGCACTTCTTAAACTTCTCTTTAATGACATTTACTAATTGACAGCAATTCCAAGTTCAAGCTCCAGAAGCAAATACGAATCTACTGATGTCCTGTTTCAGCAGGAGGAAGGAGAGGTCCCTGTCAAACAGGGTGACCAAGAGAGGGTGAGTGTGGGGTCACACCTACTGCTCACCACAGTGGCTGCTGGCTTGGGGCTCACCATAGGACATTTTGACAGAAAATGACCTCAATGACCTCTTGAAAATGGAAAATGTTTAACACCAGATGGGAACACTCTTTTTGTTGCTGTTTTGGTTTTTAATATTTTTGTTATAAAATATTTATAGAGAAACAGAAAGAAAGACACGAGGATTTCTGTACCTCCCTTTTCCTGACTTGTGCCCAGCCTCCCACTCCCAGCAACCCCCTCCCCCTAGACTGTGCCTGCACTGACTGTCATTGTCACCCGAGACCCCCAGGCTGCATCAGGGCTCACTCTTCACTGTCCCACATTCTGTGCGTTTAGACAAGTGTGCGGTGACTACTGTGGTGTCACACAGAGTGGCTCACTGCCCTAAAGGTCCTCCATGTTCCACCTGGTCACCTGGATAGCTTTTCAGGATAGAGACGGTTGAGGCAGCTTCTCTGTGAAAGGAACATGGAGCCTGGGAAGGCCAAGGGTGTAGCCAGAAGGTTGAGTAGGACTGGTGCTCAGGGCACAAAGCATGGCAGGAAGTGGCTCTGGACACCGCATGGCAGGTCAGTGAGCCAGGGGCAGAGCACGGAGCGAGGTTGGAGGGGTGGGCAGAGCCAGGACACAGTGGCAGGGTATCACCAGGGAGCAGCGACCATCCTGGGATAGAGACAGTTGAGGATCCTCTGGATACCATTGCCTGTTTCTGAGACTACTACTAAAGGGACAGGAGGGACACAAGTCAAAGCAGACGAGCTGGTCTCCTTTCAGGGGCTGTTCCCTGACTTTCCCTAGCTGTCACTCAGTGGTTGACTCTCCAGGAAGCCAGATCCTCGGTGGACCCACCTATAGGGCATGTGGAAGCTGAGCCTGACCCTCAAGGAGCCTCAAGGTAAGAGAAGCTGCTGAGACAGACCTGCCAGGGGTGGTGCCCAGGAGGGTGCCCAGGAGGTCTTCCAGACCTGGAAACAACAACAAGGCCCTACATATGCATTTTTCCTGGTGCTGAGGGGTCAGGGGTTAATGCTGGGTGACTGTTCCGAGGACTGACCGAAGTGGGGCATGGGAGCCTCAGGAGCCCCAATGGGCTTCAGCTCTCACAGCCTGGGCTCCCTCTCTCCCTGGCTCAGCAGGTGGGAGAACCTCAACACCGATCCCCCAGGGCGTCAGTGACTCTACAGACAAACATGTGGCCTCCACGTCCTGAGGAACAAAAGCACTTCCATTGGCTGCCCTTCCAGTTTGTTTTCTCTTTGGAGAATGTGAGCCCTTAAATGTCCTCAGTGCACACACAAGACAAATAGGTGAGTTGGTGGCAGCCGATTAGCTTCATCTGCTCTTTCCACGACAGAGTCTTTCCCTGCATCAACACGTCCTGTGCATGTGCGGCTGCCATTGTCAATTAAAATCAAAAAGTCACTGCAATTGAACGTCAAATTTTACATTTTGTGTTGTTCTAGGGGAGGATCTGTTGGTCTGTGTCACCTCTTCTATATAAACATGGTGCACATTGCAGATCAGCCTACAGTCACCCAACATTAACTCCAGGTTGCACCCAGGCTTACAGGGCACTGCCCAAGCTGCCCAGGCATGCCGGCCTTCCCCTGCCCTCTGCCCTCCACAAAGCCAAGAGGCCCGACCTGCTCCCCTAGTTCTCCCGAGCCAGCAGGTTACCTCAAGGCATCTGAAACCAAGTGATCCCGCAAAACACCCAAAGCAAAGGCCCTGGAAGAAGCTTATAATTAGAACAGAGAAAAAACTTCTTATCCTTCCGGGGGCGTTTGGAAGAGTGCAAGGAGGGAGCTGTAGGTAATCAGCTGTGTGAAAGTTATAAATGGGCTGCAACTCACGGAGTTGATAGATGAACAGTTCAGTCCCCCAGTTACATACTTTTTGCAACAAGAACAACTGTGCCCATTCAAAGGAAATGGCAGCACACCGCTGTGGGTGTCATCCTTATTTTTAAAATCGTTTTTTCTAACTTTAGAGAAGCAATGATTAATAATATGGAAAATGAAATAAATTGTGCGCTAATGACCAAGGGTGAGAATTTATGAATCACCTAGGAATCGGCACTTATTTGCAGAAACACACCCCCTGCACACAGGCACGCAGGCTCACACCCACGCACACCCACACGCACACATGCACACACATGCACACACACATTTATTCTCACACAAAGCACCTTTTCTGGTCACTTAAGAAAGCAGAGTTGACCGCGGAATCTTGCAGAGGCTGGGCTCAGATCACTTACTGCTGTTCCTTTCCTTCCAGGAGGCACCGACCTTCATGTTTCATTTCCTTCTGGACTGTAGTCTTACAGTTTGGAAGGAGCTTTCTCAGTACGGAGCTGCGTGTTGCTCAGCTAGTTCTCGCAGAGCATCATGTTCTCATGGCAGAATGTCGCCTTGTGTGGTCACATGGACAGCGGGAAGATACCTGGGTGGTGAGGCGGGTTCCTGTGTAATTATTCCCTATGGACTCCCCTGGACCACGTTAGGAAAGCCATCTCTGCCTCTGCCAATCCTGTGGCCCACGCTGAAGGGCCGAACCTCGCAGTCAGGGCAACTGTGGAAGAACAGAGGGTCATGGTTCCCCATCTTTGCAAATCAAGCTTTCGTGCACAGTGATTCACTGTATTCCAAAAACCCTTGGTTCTGATTTGCATTTCCCTAGGGACTAGATATGGGGAAACTTTTTTCCCCGCCAAATACCTATTAGTCACTTGTATGTCTTCTTTGGAGAAATGTGCAGTCAGGTTCTTAGCCTATTTTTAAAAATTGGGTTGGTTGTTTTTGAGTGAAAAATAATATATTCCAATGTCAAGTCAAAGAAGCCAGATACCAAACGTCATGTATTTTGTGATTTCATGCATATGAAAAATTCGGAATAGTAACTCCAGAGACAGGACAGACTCCTGCTGCCGGGGCTGAGTGGAGGAGGAATTGGGTCTGTGGTGCTTATTGGGCACCATTTCTTTTTAAGGGATTAAAATATTTTGAAACTGGATGGAGGCGGTGGCTTCCCAACACTGTGAATGAACTAGGTGGCAACAGTGAACTATAGAGAGCAGGATGCTGACCTCAATTCAAAGCTTTGTTGACAGGTTGAGGAAAGCACCCAGTGATGGGAGCTTGACTTGTATGTACACGGCCTTGCCTTCATTCCGCATCCCCCACCCCCCATACACACACGCCAAAACCCCCCAATCAAACAAACAAAACAGCAACAGAACAGATATTTTCAACCAGCTGACCAGAGCACAGTACTTTCCAACACCTTGCAGCTAGATACAGTTCAATGAGTTGGTTCCCCTTTGTGGGCATCTTCTGAATTACAGTTTTGAAAGAAAGAGCAGGTCCTCCTGCCTTGATGTCCACTTCCTGCTGGCCCCAAGGGACATGGTAGAGCACCAGCTTTACCCAGTGGTGTTGTGAAGACTGCCCAGGAATGGCTGAGCCCCCAAAATGGCAGGGTCTGGGCCCCTGAGGGCTCTCCTGACAGCCATGGCTACAACCCAGACTTCTACTTAAATGAAACTGCATTTTTATCTTGTTTAAATCTGTAACCTAATTAATTATCAGTAGTGAGAGCAAATTCAGTTCTGGACCTTGTGGAGTTTCAGGTGTGACCGTCGTGGAGTTTCAGGTGTGACCGTCACAGCTGTCCCTCCTTGAGAATTTTGCATGCCTGTTTCTCTGATGAAGTTCTCCTACCATATCATCTGATTTAACCCTCACAACCACTCTGCGTTGGAGGTAGTATTATTTCAATTTTGCAAAAGGGAATATTGTGGTTTGGAGATGGTGTTTCTTATCCCAACTAACCCATCAATGGTAAATAGATTGGAGAAGTAAAACCCAAGTCCATCTACTCTCCCAGCTCCATGTCAATTTCATGCATCCACGTGGAGGTAGTGACTCCAAGTTGGTTCCAATTGTTGCCACATGGAACTGGGCTGAGGAGGGTTGTATGTGTGCAGATAAGCTCTGGTGAGCAGAGGTTGAAAAAGAGATGATTCTAGTCTTCCAAGAGTAAGGACAGGTGAGAGGATAGAATTTTGGCTGAGTATCTTCTCTGGGATGCCATCTCCTTTTCCTGAAATGACCCATTATAAAAGACTTTACCTGGGAAATACAGATTTACTGACTTAGAATGGGGTTACATCCTGATGAGTGCATTGCAAGCTAAAATTATCCTAAATTGAAGTGCATCTAATGCATGTGATTGACCAAGCATCGTGGCTTAGCAATGCAATACACTGTAGAGAACTGGTTGCTTCCCCTGGTGAACATGGAGCTGACAGGAAGCCACCCCCATCCACCCTCCAGCATTGTGAGAGAGTGTCATACTACATATTTCTGGTTCAGGAAAAGAGCAAGATTCAAAGCAGTATTCACACTGAATGTACATCAATTTGGCACCATGATAAAGTCAGAAAAGCCTACATCTGGGACTGTCTGGATATTACAACTTTGCATATATAGTATGTAAAATGCTTTCTGAATGGATGCCTGGTTATGTTTCCAGGGATTCAGTCAACAAAGTGAGAATCACTTACCTAACTCCATGTCAGGGAGAATGGATGTCAGCTCCCTGCTGATAACAGGTGGAGATCTGCAAGTCAAAAACCTGAGTTGCACAGCAAGTTGGTGGTGACGTCAGAGTGGGAACACAGATTATCTGGTGGTGGCTTTGAATGGGGTGCAGAGAGGGATGTCGTGAGGTATTGGAAATCATAAGAAGGAAATGAGCCTGAGAACAGTCTCCTGGGGGAAAGATGGCCTCGTACCCTTGAGCAGCCAGCAGAGAGTGCAAGGCCAAATGACATCCCCTGAGAGCCTACCTGCTCATGTCTCTTCCTGCTCACCGTGAGCACACACAGGAGGCATAGATACTCTGTCTTTGCAATTAAAGCCCAGAGACTAGAAGCTCCTAAACCCAAAGTCCACATGAGGGAGGCTGCATAAAAATACCAGGCTCCTTATTTCTCTTTCCCGAGATGTGGCTTCCATCATGAAGACTGGCTTAGCTCCATTGTGGGGTCTATTCTTAGGACACACATTTGGCACAATTCACCCTTTCTGTTCGGTGACAGGAGAGGAAAGCAATTGTGTTTGAAGTGCCTCACTGTTCTCCATTGTCTTGATAGCATGGGGCTCTTGACAGAACTTCTATTGCCGTGAATTGCTCACCTTTTTAAAAAGAGTGAGTTGAAGGGATTTCTGGAATGACTTGGTTGGCAGCTTCCCAGGCTGTGAGCTCTTGAGTGTCCAGCAGGATGAACAGTGGGAGAGGCATCTGCAGATGGGCTGCAAAGCAAGCCGCTGAAACTATTTCTAGAGCCATTGGCATTACTTAAAATGAGGAATTGTGGGAATGTAAAAGGATAGTGGTTTAACTGGGATTTTTAATAGAATTTCTTTATTGAGAGTACCTGGAGCTGCAATCAGTTTCAAGGAAACACTTAAACAAGGGGGCCAGAGGGGTCTTCAGGAAAGTGCCTGGTGGATAGGAATGGTGGCCATTTCAGCTGGTCCTTTCTGAACACAGGCCTCCACCTGTTTCCAGCCCAGTAATGAGCATCTGGCTCCAGGTCAAGGAGAGAGCACGAAGGAACAGTGGTGACCAGAGCACCATTGATTTTCAGGAAAACAGTGGCCATTGGAATATTTCAGCCCAGAGATTAACACTTGAGAAAGTATTTTGGGCTCTGGCAACTGACTAACATATCTAATGAATTGGTCAGTGATTACCCAGGCAAAAAATACAGTTTCAGGTAACAAGAGTGCTTGTCTTAAATATATATACAGTAGCTCCCCCTTATCCACAGGGATACATTACTAACCACACTGAATGCTTGAAACCATGAAAAATACTATGCTTTTATATATATATGATATATATATATATATATCATATATATATACACATTTTATATGGCATATTTGCAAACTTATCATATATATATACAAACTTAAGACCTTTTCCAACTCTACTAAATACTTATCACACACTGTAGCCATGACTTGCAGCTTGATGTGTGACAGCAAAACTAGCTTTTATTTCTTTATTCTTCTTCACAATTTCATGGGTAAAAGATTCATTCTTACTAAAGAGCTTCAGCATGGGAATGTTTTTCTTTGCTTTTCCAGTCAATAATTTTCACCTTTAGAAAGTACTTTAGGGCTTCTCTTTGGCCTATCTGAATTGTCAGTCTCACTGCTCTTGCATTTTGGGGCCATCATCAAATAAGATAAGGCTTACTTGAACACTTGACTGTCCTGTGATACGAGGGCAGTTGATCTGGAAATCAAATGGCCACTAAATGACTAACGGGTGGGTAGCTTATACATCATGGATATATTGGATGAAGCATTGATTGATGTCTGAGGACTGACAGAGATGGATGTTGCAGATTTTATTGCTATAGATAGCTAGACACAATTTAAAACTCACAAATAGTCTATTTGACAATTGGTATGCTGAAATTGCATATTGACTGTGGATATTGAAACCCATGGAAAGTAAAACTGTAGGAAGCAAGAACTTCTATAATTACCTTCTGCTCTAATTCTAATATTTGTGTGTGTTAGAATACATACATAATACATCTATATCCTATCAGACCTGCTGAGAAAAATATTTCTAATTAAGCCCCGTTGTTTCTGTTAAGTGGAGAATGCAAACTTGCTGGCATAGCTGAGAAAATAAGATCAACACAAGTAACATTTTCCTTGTCTTCTTTCTCCATCGGAAATCCTTACCTCTATCTAAATAAAGGTGGGTAAGGCTTTACAACCTGAGATGGGATTGGCAAATGTCAGCTAGCCCTGCACACCCAGTGTTTGAGCTCAGCCATGTCAGACTGTGGAAGTTTCTTACTTTCTCTTCATAGAAAATGTCAATCAAAGGTGGAGTAGCTCCACAGAGATGATCCAAAGATGAGGGGAGGGTGTGGGAGGATTCAGGAACGATTTCTGCTGCTTGTTTTTAACCCAAGCCAATGTTTTTATAATAAAAACAAAAAAGAATATTTCTGCTTCTGGTTCTGTGCTGGGCACTCTGCAGAGGTCAGCCTTCATTTTCGGTTTAAATTGCCCAGACCACAGATGGTGGTGGCATGACCTCTCACACCCAGATGTTATTGAACATAAGTTATGTCAATCATCTCATTTACAAAAACCTTCTCTAACATGAGAATCTTAATTAAATGTGCATTTTTAAAAACCCTTCTTCTCCTCTGGCGATAGGTTGAGTGAAACCAGTGAAGGACTCTGGCACCTCGACTTCTCCCAAATGGAAAGGGGTGTGACTGTTGGGATTCTGGTGTGCCCAAGGCTACCCAGTCTGCTGTGTGGAGGACACTTCCCTGCGGCCCTCCCCAAACTGCAATCAGTGACACAGCCTGCTTCTTTGCCAGGTCTCTGCTGCATGTGCTGTTAAAGGGGCACATGGGATGGTGACATGCCTGCCAGCCCACAGCTCTTCCCCACCCGTGCCTTGCTCTACCAGGAGGAATGGGAGATGGGAGATGGGAAATGGGAGTTTGCAAGGTGGGAGGAGGAAGAGTCCTAGGTGCTTCCACCCTTTGCTCTCTCCCTCAGGC